ACCTCACAGACATACTTAGAAATAATGTTTAGCTACATATCTGGGTACCCCATGATATAGTCAAGTTGACTTCCCCAACACAGGAGATCACACACACTGGCCAGATCTATGATGCTAATGACTACCGGAAAATTCGGGTTGTAGGTCATCCGCACGCAGTAGGGGAGTGAAAACTCTGCCTTTGATCTGACAGTGGAGTAACCCGTGAGCGAAGCTGAGATGAGTGGTAGCATGTGCAGGCGGTGGGGTCTCTTCTCCGTGTGCAAGCATATACCAACTTGAATAATGAAACAGAAACTGGGGCGTGCAGTTATTGTGGATCCCAGTTCACTCCGTCAGTGCCACCACTAGAGTGAATGGTGCAACCTCGTTTCTAGCTCCTCTGATATCTAAGGGTTGGTTTACAGTTGTGAGGATGTGAAACACAGAGTTTATACTTGTGTTATTTATTATTGTATTATCCTTTCTAATAAAAAAGTAATATGCAAATTAACCATCACTCCACAACAAAATAGCAATGCCCATAGCCACAAGATGGCGGTGCCCAGTCCCCTCATCCCCACCAGAGTCCCCCAGTCTCAGGGAGGGCTGCTGCTGAGAGCCTGCAGAGTAAGTGGCCTGGTGGAATGCTGCCCAGAGGTCCTCCTGACTCTTTATAAAAAACAAAAACAAATTTATTCCCCATGGCCTGATTCCTCCCAGTGGCGGCAGCCTGGGCTGGGGTCTCAGCCCAGCAGGGCTGTGCACCCCCACCATGCAATCCCCCTCCCAGCAGCGGCAGCCTGGGATCTCAACCATTGAGTCACATCAGCCAGGCAGATATGGAGGAATCTTAAATGTTTCTTTTTAAAAATATATTTTATTGATTTTTTTTTATTGATTGAGAGGAAGGGAAAGGAATAGAGAATTAGAAACATCGATGAGAGAGAAATATTGATCAGCTGCCTCCTGCACACTCCCCACTGGGTATGTGTTCCCAACCAAGGTACATGCCCTTGACCGGAATTGAACCCTTGAGTCTGCAGGCTTATGCTCCATCCATCTAGCCAAACCAGTTAGGGCTGTCCACTATGTTAAAGAAAAAACCCTATCTGATAAAGAGGGAATATGCAGGGGAGGGCATTTGAGGGTGACCGTGTTGTCAGGGGAGGGCAGTTGGGGACAATCAAGCTGGCAGGGGAGCAGTTAGGGAGTGATCAGGCTGGCAGGCAGAAGCAGTCAAGAGCAATCAGGCAGTCAGGCAAGCAGTTGGGAGCCAGTAGTCCTGGATTGTGAAAGGGATGTATGACTGCCTGTTTAGGGATCAAGCCTAAATGGGCAATTGGACATCCCCTGAGGGGTCCCAGATTGGAGAGGGCACAGGTTGGGCTGAGGGACCAACCCCTTCTCTCCCTTGCCAGTGCACGAATTTCATGCACCAGGCCTATAGTTTGTATTATAACCATAAATCTACTTTTTCCTGGGTCTGTATATCAAACCCCACTCTCTGATAATATAGAATATACCTTCATTTTAATTACATATGAACATTCCTGAAAAGTGATTTATTAGGACACAAGGACAACATTTATATGTTTCATAAAAGTGAATTTTATAGTTTCTACACATAGTACAATAAAACTATAAATTAAAAACAAAACTAAAAACAAAAAGGCACTTCCAACTAGAAATTAAAAAAAAAACAACTCTTAGGATAAAAGGGACATATAAACAAAAATTAGAGAATTTCTGAAAAATAAAAATGAGAAGGCTATAAATCAAGAACATATTGCCTGGCTGGTATAGGTCAGTGGTTGAGCGTCAAACCCATGAATCAAGAGGACCCCAGTTTGATTCCTGGTCAGGGCACAGGCCCAGGTTGCAGGCTTGATCCCCAGTGGGAGGCGTGCAGGAGAGATGTCTCTCTCTCACTGATGTTTCTATCTCTCTATTCCTCTCCCTTCCTCTTTCTCTAACATCAATAAAAAAACATATTAAAAAAGGACATATTACTTCTATGTATAAGAAGCAATGATCAGGGGAAAAAAATTCATGGCCCTAATCACCTCTATTAAGTAAAATTATAAAGGAGCATAAATGAGTTAGATTCCTAATTCAATCTAGAAAAAAATATATACCCAAAATAAAGCACACAAGTATAACAAAGATAAATGTGGAGTTTAATAACATTGAAAACAGAAGAATGGTAGAGCAAATCCACTAATCAAAATTCTGGTTCTCTGGAAAAAAATGTACAAAATAGACAGCTCGCTAGCTAATTTAATCAAGGAGAGGAGCAGGGTCAGAGAGAAGGGGAGAGATAGTTGAAGAGGAGACTCTGGCTTTCAGGATGAAACAAGCCAAAAGCCCACAGTGCAGGCAGCCTCCAAACCCTGGGAAAGGCAGGAAATGATTCTCCTCAAGCTTCCGAATGCAGCTGAGTCACGGTAACCTATGTGCAACCCTTTGAGGAACCGCCAGACAGGTGTCTTCAAACTACGGCCCGCGGGCCACATGCGGCCCGCAGAGGAGTCTGATCCGGCCCGCCAGGTTTTTTGGGCAGTGAGCGCAGCCAAGGTGTTACAGTAGGAATTAGTAGTTCATATAGTCCAGCCCTCCAGCTCTCTGAGGGACCGTGATCTGGCCCCCACTTTAAAGTTTGAAGACGCCTGCGCCAGACTATTTTCCAATGTGACTGCACCGTATTACATTTCCAACAACAGTTTGAGGGTTTTAATTCCTCCATATCTTCACCAACACTTGCTCTTGTGTGTCTTTTGCACTATGTCTATCCTAGTGGGTGTGCTAATTTAAAACTCCTAGAACGGCCGTGTGCAGTGGTGCTGGGGACCTTCTGAGCCCACTGATGTAAGAACCCCAGAGTTTAACTCAATGTTCAACCTCTGGGCCTTGCCTTTACTTACTGTCTTTCTTCATTCTATACATTTAGACATTTATTTCTATTTATATATATTCTCAATCTCTTGCATTTAACCCTTAACCACTATTTCCAAAAGTGTTGCATTAAAGATTAATGCTTCAGCCCTAGCTGGTTTGGCTCGGTGGAGAGACTGTCAGCCTGCGGACTGAAGGGTCCCAGGTTCGATTCTGGTCAAGGGCACATGCCTGGGTTGAGGGCTCGATCCCCAGTAGGGGGCGTGCAGGAGGAAGCCAATCAATGATTCTCTATCATTGATGTTTCTATCTCTCTCTCTCCCTCTTCTTTCCTCTCTGAAATCAATAAAAATATATTTAAAAAAATAAAATTAAAGATTAATGCTTCAGACCAACTTTCATCCTTCTATGAATTAGCAGTAACCAATTTTCTGAGACTAATGTGAATCCAGGAAATTAAATAACCAAAATGAAAATGAATGTCTACATTCCAACTGCCCACAAAGAAAACCGAATTAAAGCCACTGCTGACTGAAGTCGGCTCTGCTGTAATGAGACATCTATGTTCCTAAAAACCACACAATAAAAACCGGAGCTCATGGGAATAACAGACCTAGGGCACAACACCCCAACATTTTATCAGTGATACATTAAAAAAAAAAAATAGGAACATAAAAACAGTAGCAGTTTCAAACATGCCAAATGGTCAGGAGATACATAAATACCATAATAAATGTGACAGGCTATCTTGGGGAAAAAAAAAAAAAGACCCGAGGATTCCTGTGGTGTTGGGAGGCAGCAGGGCTGCGGCTCTTGGTTACTATGCAGTGGAGGCAGGAGAGTGCTGTCAGATGGAAAGCTGTCCCTCCAGATACGGAGCAGTGCGACCCTCGCTTGTGTTGGGCTGAGGCAGCTGGAAATGTTGGGGGGGTGTGTGTCTTCCTATGCAGCCCGGTGCGGGTGGGTGCAGCCTTCTGTGTTCATCGCACGTTCCTTGTGGACCAAATGCACACGGGTAAACGGGAAAAGTGTTCATGCCCAAACCATTCCCTCATAGACCCAGTGCACTGGAATATACGCAGTTTCAAACAAGTGCTGGGGATGAATGATCCAGCAATGGCCCCAGCACAGGCTCGGTGTCGCTGTCACAGACATTCGCAGTCATTGCAGCCCGTTCCTCAGCCCGCAGTGCCCTGCTTCACCACTGACACTGCTCACCTGTCACCCCGAGGACCACCTCATGTTATCCTATCTGAAATGGGAGCGAGATCTCAAATGCCCCCCCTGCCAATAGCTCCCTTGCCCTACCTTTCTTCCTCTAAAAGCCTTGCATTTTAAATGTATATATTTGATTGATTTCGGAGAGGGAAATAGAGATAGAAACATCAATGATGATAGAGAATCATTGATCGGCTGCCTTCTGCACGTTCCAAACTGGGGATGGAAATCTCCTCCCCCAGCCCCCCCCTCCCGACCCTCCCCTGCCAGCAGGGCTCTGGTGGTGGGTGCAGCACTGAGGGAAGGAGGAGGGGGAGGGGAGGCGGACCATGGGGTGACAAGGCGCCGAGGGCAGTGACGGTGTCTGGTGTCTGTGGCTTCCACGTCCAGACCAATGACAGTCACCTTCTCCCCCAACCCCACCGGGCCTTCAGGTCCTTTCTGTCTGGCCCTGATCAGCCCTATCACCCATCAGGCTTAGGGACTCCACCTGTGCATGTATTTCATGCACTAGGCCTCTAGTTTACTAATAAAATAGTTTACCAGCAGAAGGCAAAGGTCTAGCTAGTGAAATGACTCATATCCAGCTAAAGATAACCTTAGTACCCAGTATTTAAAATTTGTTTGCAGCCAAAACCGGTTTGGCTCAGTGGATAGATCATAGATAGGCCTGTGGACTGAAAGGTCCCAGGGTCGATTCCGGTCAAGGGCACGTACCTTGGTTGGGGGCACATCCCCAGTGGGGGGTGTGCAAGAGGCAGCTGGTTGATGTTTCTCTCTCATCGACGTTTCTAACTCTCTATCCCTCTCAGTTCCTCTCTGTGTAAAATCAATAAGATCTATTTTTTAAAATTTGTTTGCTGTGGAGAGAAACATAATCAAGAAAGAAGAACAAAGAATCCACCTTGTAAGTCATCAAAGTGCTTTATTCTGTAAAGCCTGGCTCATGACGAGTGTATTGTTAGCACTAGGAGATACAAGGCAAACTTCCTCACTCAGTTCAAATAGTTTATCAATAGAAATGAATGACAGAACGGTTACAGACAAAAATAAAGCATGTTGTAAACTAAAAGCATACAGAGATTGGCCACAAAGGAAATAGTTACTCAGATAATGTATGTGTACCTTATCCTTACTTCAAGGGTCTCACTTTTGTAGTTTTGGGACAAAGAAACTACAGTATAACTTCAGAACACGGAAAGTGACTAGGCTCCAGAATGAAAAGTGGGGGTGGGGATTTGGGGACCAGGTCCAACTTGTAGCAAGTCACTTTTGTCCTGGAAGTCTTTTATTCTCTATATGATAAAACGCAGGAGGAGGGGGAGGGAGCACAGATTTAGAGAACCATGTCACAGCAGTGTGAGCGTCATCTGTTTAGGAAAACGACCTGTATGAAGTCAGTAGGTAAAGCAGGATGGTGCTGCTGTGGGGTTCCAGAGACATTGGTTTGCTAACCCCTTGTGTTTTCTGAAGTAAACCAATGCCATGAGCGAAGTTACCATCTTGATAAGCCCTGAAGTAAAGTCACTGGAGGAGGCAGCATGAAAGGGGGTGTCTGTTGCGTTGTCAGTAATTATTAAAGGGCGGATTTTTTTTTCCTTTACTGAACCTGCCTACAAAAATCATTTCATGTTTTAAACAAAGAATTTCAAAGGCACAGCTTTAGCACAGTGTATAAGTTGATAACCTAGTCTAAGCAAGGCCAGTATTTTAGCTCGACACCTTCCAGAAAATGCTGGGAAGTTGGTACATACATGATCAATGTTAGAAATGTATAACTTGATTAAACACAATCAGCACAGTTTAGGGCAATGAACTTACATAACCAGATTTGGATTAAGCATTAAAAAAAAATCATTAGATTGATAAAGGTACATCTGGAAGAAACAAACAACCCTTTTCCTTTCACTGTAAAGACTGCCTACCACATTCTTTAATAAAACGTTCACCCCGAAATATGACAGCAGGATACACTTCAAAACATGACAAACATTATTTCACCAACACTGTAAAATGACTTTACATGTAAACTTCAAAAATCACATGCTGTACATTAAATTTTTAGATTCAAAAATATCCCTGTTTTCCTAATAATGTAAACAGTAATCTTGAGGGTTTCGGTTAAAGGGGTAATTCATAACAAAATACCATTGTCTAAACAACGGCCAAACATAAATACCTTATAATTCAGATTTTAATCAGGAAAGGAGAATTGAGAGTTCTGGTGTTTTGCTCCCAGTCCCACCATGGGAGATGTAGAGACCATTGCCCCAAACTATGCGCTTTTCAGGTAAGCTTTATTTTTATGTCGTAGCATTCATTCCTATGTTGCAACGTAAGTGTAACAGTAAGAAGCTCCAGGCAAGAAAAAAAAAAAAAAAGTAAGCTGTTTTCCCGGATGTATTTACTGAGTGACAATGTACAGAGAGGATCACTAGAGGCATCAGCTTCTTGCTGGAGGAGGGTGTTTGTCCCGTGCGGACAGGGCCCTGTGCCGGGATGCGCGTGGGATGCCAGCACCCTCTGTCCGGGGCCGGGGTGTGGGGCCAGCTGTTAGGAGTGTCAGCGTGTGGTAGGAGTGTAACATTTGTGGTTAGGTTTTTTTCTTTTCTTTAATCACCATCATTATTATTATCATTATTATTAACTTCATTATTATTATGAATACTGTCTCACATATTTCAAAGTAAACTGATCCACAGTTTATCGTGTGATGCCAACATGGTTGGTCTGACATGCATTTCCTTTTCCCCTTCCCCCTGAATAAGCTTGCTTATCCATTCATTCATTCATTCATTCATTCATCCGTCCACCCATAGCTGGAATCAGAAGGTTGTTGCCTAAACACACTGACTGAAGCTGATCTGGTTTTCATTAATCCATTAATTCATTTTGAAGATGCACACACACGCACACATACACACACGTGTGCACACTCGCACACACACAAGTCAGAAATAGCTAGAATGAGGCTGGGAAATATCAGGTAGCCGTTAAAGCGAGTAGTTCCCAAGTCAGTCATCTTGGCCTGAAGATGTAAACGAGGAGGTGTGCTCACTGAGTTTGGTTTTTCCTTTTTCCTACACCAAAGCCACCTCGGTCCTTCCCACGCTCGTGTCCATCCGAGATGTGCAGGAGGTTACGTCAAGATGTGGCCAATAAAGTCCAAAAAGCGCTTTGAATACTGTTCTGGGTTCACGGTTGAGATCTCTGCACCGGCCTGGGGAGTTTTTAAAGGAGAGGAATATTGATAGAATTACTACTCAGTAGCTACGGCAATTTCCATCTACAGCTGAATAGAAAGCTGACAGTTTTCGAACCTGTGCGGACTCCTCTCAGGAATCTGTGTGAAAAGGAGGCTGAGCGGCAGTAACAGCAGAGACTATCACCACACACACGGTGACTGCTGGCTTAAAATGAAACCCAACTCGCCACGTGTGGGATGCTTCTGCCATACACTGGCATCTATTTGGCCCACACTCAGAAGCCATGCAGACAATATTTTTGGCTTTTGAGAAAGCAGACTGGAGATAACTTGGGAATGACAGGAGAAACATCAACATTTGGCTACAGAGAAACTTCAATGACAATGATGTAAGCATTGCATTCATTTTCCTGGATTGTGTAAGCAGGCGAGGGCTGGAAAACAAGAGTGGCAGCAGTGCCGGCTCTCTCCTCGAACCCTAACTGGGAGAGACAGTGCTGGTGACCGCATGTCTGCCAGAGGGCGGGCCTGCTGCCCTCCGCACATGGCACCTCGTTCCCCTTCAGAGACCCGCTCCAAGCAAGGATGCTGGGCCCTGGCAACACCTGGGCGGGGGATTTCCTCTCTCAGAGGCAGGCAGACCCAGGTTCCCAAGCTGCCCAGGGGAAGACCGGAGTGTCCCTGGGTCCCAGGTGTCGCTCTCAGACACCCAAGCACAATGGGGAGTGCCATGTCCTTCTCTGCCTGGGCCCCTGGGATGGCCACAGAGGAGCCCGGGCATCAAAGGCAGAGAATCCTTCCCAGCCAAGCCCTAATGTCGAGAGTGATGTCTTGTTTCTGCAAATGGCACACAATTTCAGGTCCTGGGGTACACCGTGGAGCTGAGCTGGTGACGTGCGGGGGAGACGAAATGGAGCCACATTTGCTGTGGTACATTTCCAATTCTTCCTGGAATCGCACATTAGGGCAGATCCGGGGAGGGATGGGTACAAGCAAGGAGCATCTCCCCAGTGTTCAGCCTGCTCATCTCATATGGCCCCGCCCCCCAACAAAGTCCAGTCACCAAGGTGCTAGACCCCTTTATCCATTGGGGGAACTAAAGCTCCAAAGTGTGTCCTCAAGGTCGCCACAGGGAAAGGTGAACTAGGGATTATGATGTATTTAGGGCGCCTCATGGATCTGTAGCATAACGGACACCAACGACTCCGAACCTCAGCCAGGCAGATGGGGTAACTGGTGGGATGTGGGGGTGGGGAGGGGGGGGACTACCACAGAGCAGGGGGCTGGGGCAGGCACTGGGAGCAGCCCCATCTCTGCCACTCTCTAGTGATGTGAGCCTGGCAAGTTACCACTTACAACTCTCTCCCTCAGTTTCTCCAAATGCTAAGCAGGGCACACTGGTACCCTTCCTAAGCTTGTCATGGGGATTAACAAGCTAACATACGCCTGGAACAGTGACAATTCTGAGCAAGCACAACAAAGGTAAGGAATTAAGAAAATTAAACGTTGATCTTGCACTAGGAAGATTTCTGTAATAGAAAAAATACAATTCACTGTGGGGGGAGAGGGGGAAATACAGACTTCCTATTTTGGAAACACCTAAAGCAGAGAATAGTGCTTTGGTTCTGGATATTTCATATTAAAACACTTAACTATCTTCGGCACATTTATCTTTGAGACATCTTTCCAACAAAAAAGAACCTGTACAGCAACCTAGAGATGCATGTGTCTACTGAGATCCCCGGTGTGTAAGAGTCACACTACGTTCAAGTGACCTGCCCCAAGCCTGGCTGTGCGGGGAGCGGCTTTAGCATGGCGGTGCACTCAGACCCTCTTCAGCGAACACGAACCACCGCAGGACTTTGAGCATCACGGTGAATAGGAGCAGCCTGGCCTGGCTGGCATGGCTCAGGGTTGACCCGTGAACCAGGAGTTCAGGGTTCGATTCCCGATCAGGGCACATGCCTGGGTTGCAGGCTCCATCCCCAGTAAGGTTGTGTGTGTGCGTGTGCGTGTGCGTGTGTGTGTGTGTGTGTGTGTGTGCGCGCGCACGCGTGCGTGTAAGAGGCAGTCGATCAATGATTCTCTCTCTTCATTGATGTTTCTCTCTCTCTCCATTGATGTTTCTCTCTCTCCCCCCCTTCTTCCTTCCTCCCTGAAATCCATAAAAATATATTTAAAAACAAACAAACAAAACGGGACACTTACGCCATGCTTGACTGTTTTCGCAGCGTGGGCAGCTTTCTTCTTTGCATCATAGTGGGTCAGAATGTCAATAATCGCCATAAAGTACACCTCTTTCCTGGGTGAGTCTGTAAAGGATGAGAGCAGAGTCGGTACACATGGTGACACGGGGAAAGGCACAAGCTGCAGAAAGAGGGTGAGGGGTTCAGGGGCGGGGAGTGGGGAGTCCAGGCACAAAGGCATCAGAGGCTATTAAAGAGCCCTGCAGCCCCTGCATGTCCCCATTAAACAGCCAACCCTCTGCACCACCTCCCTCTAAGCTTACAAAGTAGAAACAAAATAAAAAATAACCCCAGGGCATTAACAGTGGAGGGCCAAAGGCAAGAGTTTTTATTTTGTTAATCTGCATTTTCCTTAATGATTGTGCATTGCACTGGTATAAAGACACATTCTATTTTTAAAATACTCTATAAGACAAGTAGAAGCAATTATACTATTTAACCCTTTTCTGCCATTATATGCTAACTAAAGGCCCAGTGTACAAATCCATGCATGGGTGGGGCCTGGCCAGCCCCGATCAGGGCCCAATCAGGGCTATGCTGGCTGGGGTAAGGGGCTGTGGGTGATTGGACAGTGGGCCTCGCCCCCGATTGGGGTGGGGGTGCTGATTGGGGGCCAGTGGCCTGGAGGGGGGGGGGAGGGGCCTGGGGCCAGTCAGGGTGGTAGGGGCCCATAGGGGGCGAGGCCTGCCAGAGGATCAGGCTGCAGGCTGATCAGGGTGGTGGGGGCCCATTGGGGGCATGGTTGGCTGGGGGAAGGGGCTGCAGGAGTTTGGATGACTAGCCCCACCCCCTATGGGGGGGGCGGATGCGATCAGGGGTGGGCTGGCCAGGGGGAGGGGCTGTGGGCCTATTGTGGTGGGGCTGGTTGATTGGGGGTGGGGCTGTCAGGGCTGGGAGGAAAAGGGAGATGGCATTTGGCTGCCTGCCCTGTTCTTGATTGGGGTGGGAGAGTCCGATCAGGGGCAGGCAGGCAGCGGGGAGGGCTGTGAGGTTGGCTGGCCGGCCCCACTCCCTGATTGGGCCAGTTCACTGGCCACAGTGAGTGTCATAGCGACTGGTCATTACAGTAGCTGGCTTTTTATATATATAGATACCTAATTAGATTGTAATTACTAATTCTCATTGGATTTAATATCAGAATTGGATAAACTTATATATCATATATAATATCTATTTTCTGCCTATGTCCACAAATAAGAAACTTTTTCAATTATGAAGAAAAAGAAAAGTATATTTGTACTTAATATTGGTGAGCAAAATAAAAATACAACTCAAAATCACTTGGCTGATATACTATTGAGATATTTAAAAACAAACAATGATGAATCATAATTTTTATTACTAAAAAAAGGCCTGCTTTTTTCATTTCTCTAAAATATTGTTTTTCTCCATGTATATGTAGCTATGATAGAACCCAATATTCCTTCAAATATCTAACTGCCCAAATATTGAAGATTAAGATTGATTCTACTCTAGGGAAGATGGCCACAGACTCCTAAATGGGGGCAGGGGAGCAGAGGACAGACACAGCAGCAAATGGGAGATGCTCATCCCATGTCCTGGGCTGGTTCAGCATGACTAGGAAGGAAAGGGCTGGCTAGAGATGAGACTTCTGCCCTAAAGGATGTCCCTGTGAGGTTCAGAGTGGACCACGTATGTCCCAGCTCAGGATAGATTTGTGACACTTTAGACTCACATAAAAGAGAGACAGTTCAGAATAAAAATATTTTAAATCATTTCTTATTTATCCTATCTGTATTTATTTAAGTACACGTGTTGTTTATTTGACACTAGAGTCCTGATGCACAAAAATCGTGCACTTGGAGGTGTCCCTTAGCCTGGCCTGTGCTCTCTTGCAGTCTAAGAACCCTTGGGAGATGTCCAACTGATGGCTTAGGCTTGGCAGTCGGACATCCTTAGCGCTGCTGAGGTGGGAGTCTCCTGCCACTGCCACTGCGCTCGCCAGCCATGAGCCTGGCTTCTGGCTGAGCAGTGCTCCCGCTGTGGGAGCACATGACCACCAGGGGCAGCTCCTGCATTGAGCATCTGCCCCCTGGTGGTCAGTGTGCATCACAGTAACCAGTTGTTCCGCTATTCAGTCAATTTGCATATTAGCCTTTTATTATATTGGATAGTCTGTGATTTTACTCTATTCCATCAATATCACGAAACTCAGGGACCTCATCACATTACACTTTTCAAGACTAGAGATTACAATCACCTTTAACCCATTCTTGTACTCAAATCAATAGGTTGGGCCTCTGGAGAACAAAGCTTACAAGGCAGCATGATGTTAACTGGGTTGTAATTACCGGCGGATAATACACACATCAAACCACTTCACAGGTAAAAAAAAAAAAAAAAAAAAAAAAAAAAAAGAGTTGATAATACTGAGCTTACTTTCATGGCATTTAATTCCATAAACATCAATGTTTGGATCGAACTCCCCGGGAGCCAAGGGCGGGGAGCTGTTGAGGGTGTTTCCAGGACTGTCCGGAGGGGTCCCGACGGGGTGGGTGCCATCGCTTTCCCCCTCCTCGTCCCCGTCGTTCTCCTCACACTCCACCTCTTCCTGCTCGGCTCGCTCCACGTCGTGGATTCCCACCAGCAGGCTGTAGTCCATGAGCTTTAACTGGGCAAGAAACTGGAGGGTGGGAGGTGACAGGGTCAGTTAGGCCTCAAACAAAACCCTGGGTTTAAAGACAACAAGCTCAGAAAAAGGCACCCGGGGGGAGCCGAGTGAAGGATGGCGAGGAGGGTCTCCTCAGGGGTGGCCAGGAGCCTCCTATGGGCTCTCAGAGTCCCAGGCCGTTTCTCTGGTCAAAAAAATGTAGCCTCGAGCTTCAGGCTGGCTCAGTGCTGGTACTATTCTCCTAGAAATGCCGAGCGGGCATGCGCTTATCACGTCTAGACTGGATTTTGCCAAAGAGCAGAGAGCATGATGACAGAAAGAGGCCCTGACGGAGTGAAGAGAACACTTCTCTCAGCAATTAGCGCAGCTAATGGGGGAAATCAGGGACCTCCCAAGCGGCTTACTGCAGAGCCTCTCAGAACAGTCTGGGAGAGCACTTGGAATTCAGCACGCTCCCTGGGGAGATTGTTATGCTGTCCATCACAGAGCCTGGGAGCCCAAATGTCCCAGGCAGCCGCCACGCTGTGTCCGCCCTGCGACCGAGGCAGCCCCTCTGCTCTGCTCGTCTCCTGACGGGAGCAGGGCGGCCAGAGATGCTGAGGAGGCTCGCTCTCCGCGAGGAGCACAGGCTCAGGTTCCGGTCCCTCCCACTCGCTCCCTCTCTCTGAAATCAATAAAAGCACACACACACACACACACACACACACACATACACATGTTTTACATACACATATAAAACATATGTATATAAAACATATATATGTTTGTATATATATAAAACACATATATTTATATATAAATATATATTCACACACATATAAAACATATATTTACATATATAAAACATACACATACATTTATGTATATATAATATGTGTGTTTTATATATACAGACACATACATTATATATACATATTATGTATTTATAATATGTATATTTAAATGTATATATAATATAATATATATTTACACATATATTTACATATATAGAACATATATACATATATGTAATTTTTTTAAAAAAAGGAATATCCTCTAATTTCTAGGAAGTATGAAGGGCAGGATGCTCACTTGTGGCCCCAGAAACCGGGCTAGTTTGGCCCCATCACCTCTCAGGTCGACCTGAGCCCTGTCTGCCCCCAGTTCCCTCCCACTAAACCTTCGGGTCTCCGCTGCAGGGTCAGGGCGCTGGCTCAGGAAGCCTGTCCCGATCCCGCCCAGGCCACATCCCAAAGCCTGGGCATGCATATGGCACTGCACACGTTCCCCTGATGGCGTGGCTCAGCTGCTCTTTCATCTGGCAGATCACATGAGTAACTTCAGTCTTTCTCACACACCCAGCCCATGAGGCAGGGGCTCGGCTGTCTGCCCTCACTGCGTTCCTGCCTCCCAGGGAGTGACGGTAAGCGCTCAGGACCTACTGAACAAGTGAATGAGATGCCTGCTTCTTCTTTCCCTGTCCTCCTCAACTCCCCTGAGTCTCTTCTAACGCCCTTCTCCACAAATAACCACCCCAGCCAAATAAAAAACAAACAAAGCAACAACGAAAGCTTTTGTTTGAGACTCTAAGTGGTAGCACTTCGCAGAAGCAAAAGGAGACCATGTTCAATTTATTTTTGCAGAACAGAATCTCTGTTTAGCATGTGGGTCTACTGTTTGATCTTCAGAGAGTTGACTTTCAAATACACTCTCAAATACCAAAGTAAAGGGGCTGCTATAATTAACTGCTGAGGTTCGGACAGGGAAGGGGTGCCACCTGGGGCTGGGCTGCTGCACCAGGGGGCGGGGTCTCCAGGCCCACGCCTTCCCCCGGCACCTGTGCTGCTCAGGCAGGTCCTGCACTCCTTTCCTGGGCCACCCACCTGTGGTCAGACCACTGCGGAGGCCCCTCATCCAGTAAGGAAACAACCGTGTTTAAAATGAAGTTAGCTCCCAGTACCACCCACTAAACCACCAGTGAAATGGAAAATGCATCTCTAGATGAGAAGCTGTTCTCACATTCCCAGGAAGATCAAGGAAACCAACTGCAGGCCTAAATGGGCACTATGTACGTTTTCAAGTCTGTGAGCTGAGATAGAAAGGGCAAAGACCAAGAACAGCACAGGGCTTAGGAGCATAGGTTTTTTTCTGATAAGGGACACTCATAGATTCTTCTTTAATTATACCATCAGATATTCTTAAAAATAAAAACTGAAAGAGTATAGATTTTGGAGTCCGATAGGAGATTAGATCTTATTTCTCTCACCATCTCAGTGCCTTGACAATGAGTTCACTTCCCTGAGCCTCAGTTATCTACACTAATAAAAGAGAAATATGCAAATTGACAGTCACTTTGTGACACCCACCAGCCAATCAGGCATAATTATGCAAATTAACCTGACAAAGATGGTGGCAGCCCCACCTGCAACTGCTCCAGGCCTCTGGGAAGCAAGCATGCAGGCGTGGAGCAGCAAGGTGGGGTGGGACGCCTGCTATGAGGGGGAGGGTGGAGGATGGAGGGAGCTACAGGAGCAGCGCTCCGGCCAGAGCAAAGACTGAAGGCGGCGGCCGAGCAAAGGCCTGGGTCCTGGAAGAAAATTGGTACCAGCAGCCAGGGGAAGGAAGGCCTATTGCACAAACCTTCGTGCAATGGGCCTCTAGTTGTAACTATAAAATGAGACAATACCACTCAACTCACAGGGTGTGGAAAGGATTACAAGACATAATGTAGTTGAGGCAATGAAACGTGTAACCATGGAAGTTGTTATCATAATTGTCCATGTTGTTATCATTATGGTGAAAGGCCTTTTTTCATCAAGTATGCAATTTAAACCTCAAGTCAGGTGGGCCAGCAGGAGAAATGTGGAAACGCCTGTTGATTCACTGGCTCTTTACCTTCACAAACTTTATTTTAAATGTGTTCTGAAGTAGAGTGAAATGAAATGTGGAGATAAACATGAGATTCTTATTAGGAAAGAATATCTGTTGGGTATTACAGAATTCCTGTGGACTGGAAGGAGGCAAGTTGAGAGGACAGAAAAGGGAGTCAAGAGTTCCACTACTAGGGTTTGCCTTCAACTAACACAAGGAAATTAGCACATTTGCTCCGTTTCTGTTCATCCCTTTATGCTTTGCCCCAAATTTATTGATTTTTTTTAAAGTACATAAGATTTCAAAGCATGACGATTTTTAAATCTTTGTAATTATTAGATTCCCCTGCTTTCCTCCTTTCCAATTTCTTAATAATTACCTGAAGATCTTTGATCCTCCTCCTTTTCCCTCAGAATATCCCATCTAATCTGATTTCTTAACAATTATTTCTCCATTATGCCACATCTTTGAACTAGTATCTTCCTCAGATCTTTACTAGCCCAATCACAGACTTTCCTAAAAATCCATGTGGCAAAGAGCCATCAATAAACTTCCCTTCACAACAGATTTAAATTCACTCAATTTGTTGACTTCATGAACACATTCGCTTTACTGAATTACCTCTGCACATCTATGACATAAAATTAAAGTTCCAACGGGCTGTATTTAAGAGTTATATTTTATTACTTGTTAAAAGTTATAACAATCCCCCTTTGAAGCTTTTATCAGAAAACAAAGTCTCATTTTGCCCGCAAACATTTTTAATTTGCATTTTATATCAGAGCAGTTTAGGAGTGTGGCCTCTGTCAGCCTCAAATCCCAAACTGAATTTAGTAGTTGCCTGTGCTTGAGCAAATAGACAGTGTCTCTGGACTCAGACTTCTCATCCATAAACTGGGATAAGAGCAGCACTCGCCCGCAAGGAGTTGCTATAAGAGTGAAAAGAGATAATGTGAAAGACGTAGGCTCTCCATGATCCATACATGTTGGCTGCCACCTCTCCCTCCCACCACTGCCACGATGGAGCGGTCCTGTGACAGGGCCTCCCCAGACACCACAGGGAGAACACAGTTTTGCGTTGTGTGACATCTGGATCCCAGCGTGAACCGAGGAGAGAGAACAGCCCTGGCTCTTCACCTGCATGATCAGAGTGGGCGACAGGCAGGTCAGAAGGCAATAGCGATTTTCACTCTCCATAGAGCAAATTTTATTTTATTTTTTTGAGGAAAAAGGCTCACACATATTTAATCATGTACAAAGCTATCTGACCTAAAGTACTTTTCATGGCATATGAATAAAATAGGAATTCAAGTAAAAAAAAAAAAAAAAAAAGCAGCTAGTCTCAAATGACAATTCTTTACTTTTTTCAACAAAACTAGATTATTGAGCTGTAACATATTCATCTTTTACATTAAACAATTAGTTAAAACCAAAAACACCCCATTTGCTGGCCTCTTAAAAGGTAAACTCAAACTAACAGGGCAGTCAGCTCAATTAGGAGGCATGGAACTGATGGGAAAAATAAGCTAGATTATATTCTAGCCTCATTGTCAAGATCCGATGTCAAGCTACTGCACCATAATTACCTGCTTAAAAATTTAATGATGCTTCAGCATGAATTTGAAAATGAAAGACACTGTTATCAACCAGAGAATTTTTTTAAATGAAAGAAGGCTTTGTGCCCTGCCTCCATTTCAACCAAACAGCTAAGTGTGAGAGCCACGCAAACTGTCCAAATCCTCTAACCAGCGACATTATTAGAGACAACAAAAGGACTGAGGGGACCTTTATGTAATTCAACTCTAAATCTGGACTGCTTCAGTTACGTTCTTTCTGGAATCTACCATATAGTCCTATACAGCCAACAGAACAAAAGAAGACAACTTTTTGGCAGATCACAGTTAACCCTAAGGGCAATTTACCGTACATAATTGCTAAAACAATATTATTCTCAAGATCAAAGATCTGCTGATTAATAAATAAAAATCCAAGAGCGTATGTCTGCCTGTGGTACTTAGTTATCAATTAGATCAAGTTGACCCCAAAGGAAGGGGGAAATGCTTAACTAATATGCATTTTAATAATAACCACTGATAACTGAGGAAAAACAAATGCTTACTTTTTTTTTTAACATTTTATTTATTTTAAAATGTATTACAGATGTCAACGTCCCCCTCTCCCCCCATTAGCCCTCTCTACCCTGCTCAATAATTGCTCATTAATGAAAGACTGGAGGAAAACTGTTATATGATGAAAACAAACACTTTCATCTACTTTTTAAAAGTAGACGCTTGTATCTTTCTCAAATCACCAATATTTAGGTCCTAGAAGAAGCATATACATCATGTAGGTTAAAATAATGTAAATTTCAAAATTAAAATATTTACGATCTAAAAGTAATTATAAACTGACTTGGTCAGTCTGAGTGTCTTGCAATGGAAGAGAAGGTGAGAAGGAAATGGTAATACTGCTTCTGCCTTCAGGGTGACTGACCTAATGCATGACATTCGTTCTGTGGCTCAACTCATCTCAATTGTTTTTTGTTTACTGACATGAAAAAGGAAATCTTTCCACAAAACCTCTGAGTAGCAAATTTGTCCTGGTATGAGGGGAACTGTATTTCAAAGTAGAAAATTAAAAAAAAGCATACACACATACATCTGAACAAAAGGAACAGATCAGAAAAACTTAGTAACTGTCATGTAACAGAACCCATTTCAAGAAAATAACCTTTTTCCTGAATTTATTTCTAAAACAATCAATAGGAAAGTCCAATGGGGGAATTGCAATGGCTTTACAATAAACAGAAGGAAAGGAAAGGATATAGTATTTTTAATTCTTAAAACAATATTTAAAAAGAAAACTCCATCATAGACTTAAAGCCCATTTCTCCATTCCATTTTATTTTTCACAACCATCCCCCATGACCTGGTGTCCAAACTGCCTTTGAGCTGTTCCTGGAATGTGTACAGCTGGCTTCATGGGCCTAATGGCACTTGTTCCAGAGAGGCTGGTGAAAATATTCAGGCATATAGGGAGCGAGGCTATGTTTACTAATACTGAGATGTGGTTTTGATAAAGAAAATCCCAAATTCAAATGGTTATTAAACATTTGTTTTTGAAATGCTCTGCTGCTTGATAGAATGCAGTCATTCCCCTCCTTCCAGCTCAGGGGCCATGGGCAGTCAGTCTGAATGGGCTCTAACGACAGCGGGCTATCCCCACCAACCCGGAGTATCCCCACCAACCCGGAGTATCCCCACCAACCGGAGTATCCCCACCGACCCGGAGTATCCCCACCGACCCGGAGTATCCCCACCAACCCGAGTATCCCCACCGACCCGGAGTATCCCCACTAACCCGGAGTATCCCCACCAACCGGAGTATCCCCACCAACCCGGAGTATCCCCACCAACCGGAGTATCCCCACCAACCCGGAGTATCCCCACCGACCCGGAGTATCCCCACCAACCCAGAGTATCCCCACCGACCCGGAGTATCCCCACCGACCCGGAGTATCCCCACCGACCCGGAGTATCCCCACCGACCCGGAGTATCCCCACCAACCGGAGTATCCCCACCAACCCGGAGTATCCCCACCAACCGGAGTATCCCCACCAACCCGGAGTATCCCCACCGACCCGGAGTATCCCCACCAACCCGGAGTATCCCCACCAACCCGGAGTATCCCCACTAACCTGGAGTATCCCCACCAACCGGAGTATCCCCACCAACCCGGAGTATCCCCACCAACCGGAGTATCCCCACCGACCCGGAGTATCCCCACCGACCCGGAGTATCCCCACCAACCCGAGTATCCCCACCAACCGGAGTATCCCCACTGACCCGGAGTATCCCCACCGACCCGGAGTAGCCCCACCGACCCGGAGTAGCCCCACCAACCCGGAGTATCCCCACCGACCCGAGTATCCCCACCAACCCGAGTATCCCCACCAACCCGAGTATCCCCACCGACCCGGAGTATCCCCACCGACCGGAGTATCCCCACCGACCCGGAGTATCCCCACCAACCCGAGTATCCCCACCGACCCGGAGTATCCCCACCAACCCGAGTATCCCCACCGACCCGGAGTATCCCCACTAACCCGGAGTATCCCCACCAACCGGAGTATCCCCACCAACCCGGAGTATCCCCACCAACCGGAGTATCCCCACCAACCCGGAGTATCCCCACCGACCCGGAGTATCCCCACCAACCCGGAGTATCCCCACCGACCCGGAGTATCCCCACTAACCTGGAGTATCCCCACCAACCGGAGTATCCCCACCAACCGGAGTATCCCCACCGACCCGGAGTATCCCCACCGACCCGGAGTATCCCCACCAACCCGAGTATCCCCACCAACCGGAGTATCCCCACTGACCCGGAGTATCCCCACCGACCCGGAGTAGCCCCACCGACCCGGAGTAGCCCCACCAACCGGAGTATCCCCACCGACCCGAGTATCCCCACCAACCCGAGTATCCCCACCAACCCGAGTATCCCCACTAACCGGGAGTATCCCCACCGACCCGGAGTAGCCCCACCAACCCGGAGTATCCCCACCGACCCAGAGTATCCCCACCGACCCGGAGTATCCCCACCAACCCGAGTATCCCCACCAACCGGAGTATCCCCACCGACCCGGAGTATCCCCACCAACCCGAGTATCCCCACCAACCCGGAGTATCCCCACCGACCTGGAGTATCCCTACCACCCGGAGTATCCCCACCGACCCGGAGTATCCCCACCGGCATGGGCTCTCCCCACCAGCACGGGCTCCCTCCACCGGCACGGGCTCTCCCCGACACAGAGCATGGGAACCAGAGGGTGAAGCTATCAGCAGAAGACAGCAGGTACTTTCGTGTGTTCGTCACCTAAAAGAGGGAGTTGCTGAACCAGCACACTTCTTTTCAAACCATATCACATATGAAATACACTTGTTTATATCTGATTTGGATAATGTACAATATATATTTTTGCCTTGGTTGCGGATTTACATCGATGGTTTCAAAAGCTCCTAAAACCCAACCACGTTGACGAGCAGACAATGGGACTGTCCGCTACACTGATTTTCCTTACCTCAACATCCTTTTTCAGTTTCTCCAGGAACACCTTTTTGTTGTCATCATCAATATAAATCTTTTGGCCCTCATTAATGAAATCATTATCCTTTAAAGTTGGCAGTTCTTTGGCCTAAAACAAATGAACGAAAGAATGAGAAAGAAGCTTGAGTGAAATCTATTCTAGAGAACACCTACACCTTCTAATCCTAGAGGTTAAGTTTCTACCCCTGGAAATAGAATTTGCCCTGTTCACTACAGGGGTCTTACCCAGGGCACAAATGTGAGGTAGCTTGTGTACCTCAAGGGGGCACTAGTGAGCTATGGCTGCTGGAAGCATTCCCACTAGGAATGGAGGGTGAGCTGTACACCATATTATAAGGCTTTTGTAACAGAGCTCCCGGTTTTCTTAGGAATGAACATGGCTGCTTTCTTAGATTCAATTTCTTACAAGAAGTCTTCTAAGTATAGAATTTGTATTCTTGGAATTGTCAGGAACCCTCAATTTTCTTACTGGTACAACCCAACTGCACAGCCCCCACACGTTCTGGGTAGCCTTTGCTGGGGTCAGGTTACAAATAACATGTTATCTTGTCTCAGAAAAACGCCATCCATAATCATATCTAATTTTGCGCAGGGAGACCAGGCAGCCAGAGATTAGCCATCTGCCCTGCCACGCCTGTCTACTCCCACACAGAAGGAAATCCTGTTTTCATTTGTACAACGTCAAAGGGAAATGTATTATTTTAGCATAAAACATTCAGGTATGAAGTTCCACCCTTTACAAATAAACAAGAGGATGGTGAGCTGGCAACTGAACTACACAAAATAATGGCGGCTATCAAACCAGGGGTCTCAAGCAGGGGAAAAACGCTGGCTTGTGCTGCTGTAGGATAATAGAGGCATATACATTTAAAATAGTGTGGATAATTCTATTTAACTTTGTGCAACCTGCTTTCTGTGAGAGTTGAAGACCATTCAAAACTCCTCCCCACTCCTTTCAGCTAACCTAGCTGACTTCCAGTTGAAATGAATCCAACATAATATATTTCTTAAATATTATATTCTTAATATAGTATATTTAATATATTATATTAATATGTTTAATATAATATATTTCTTAATATATTAATGAATGCCTGAATGCTTCTCTTTTCCATAGTGTGAACTATATGAAAAAAAAAAAAACCCAAGAAAAGAACATGTTTTCCTTCTGGTCCCCATCCCTTCACCACCCTTATTCCGAACAATAAAAGAAAACTCATTGGGCATTACTACCATCTTTCAAACACCTGCTCTGCTCACTTCCCCCCTATGTTAGAAGGTATACACACATGTGTAAACTACTCACATCTATGTGTGCACACACATATATGCACACATAGTGTGTAAGTGCAAATTCGTAGCTTTGCTAATGTTGAGAAAATTTGAACAGTTTTGCGATTTTGAATTTGATATAACTACCACCAAAATAATTACTCTACTCTTACAAAACAGGTACAACAAAGCTCAGAAATCCAAAGATCCAATTCACGTATAAGAATGTAAAAATGAGCAGGTCAACATTTCTAGTCTAAAGGCACAAAAGCAAGTGGGCTAAAAACCGGGCAGCGTAAGTACATAAAACGTACAGGGAAATAACACGGCTCTTGGGAAGAAGGGGAGGAGACCTGCACATACTTTCATGGCGAGTCATAGCGTCTCAAGGAAATGAAAACACAGCACTTTTCTCCACAAAAACATGAGGGGCCAAATCCATGTGTCATGAATAACTTAAAAATAAAGTAATAAACGAAAAAAAAAACCCTGAAGAGAGCACATTCATGTTAAATGCTTGACCCCATCACACTGGATCCTAATTTCTTCCTCCAATAGAACTATAAACACAACGGAGTTACACCACGAGGAGAATGGCAGGATCCACAAGCTCATTCAAGGGGCAGTGAGGCCTGACAAAATACAAAACCGGAAGGGCCTGAGGAAAAGGGGTTGAAGACAGATGGATGCACAAAAACTGAGGTGGAGAATGACTGTGGTTCTCCGAGTAGACAACCTGGGCATGTCTATGTTTTGGGGTGTGTGTGTGTGTGTGTGGGGGGGGGTGTTAAAAATAAGAGATCTGCCTTAACTCCACAACTCATTCTCTATGCGTAACAAAGAAGGGGAGAGGGCCTTTCTGTGTGAGAGAGAAACCCGGAGGCGGCACACGACACCTGGGCAGATGTCGCAACAGCGGGCACAATAATGCCGATGGATGCGGTCCAGGTTCGCCCCGGCAGCATGGCCTCCTGTGACCCGCAAAGCAACACTCTGGACACCCAGGACCACACACTAAGTGAACGGAACGGCTTATCTGGTTGGAAGGCTCAAGAGGCAAAGGTAGAGGAACCCAGCCTGGGCCTAAAAACACCCACCCCCTTGTGTCCGGGGGATGGCAGAGCGCTTAGCAGCACCGGGGTGTTGGAGACATAAATCCTGAGCTTCCAATCCTGGCTCCACCCCTTACTTGCCAGGAGCCAGCGTGGGTTTCCGGACCTTCTCTAGACAGTTGCCTTATACGCAGAACGGGGACAGCATCACCACCAGCAGCAGCAGCCTTGGGCCCGTGCTCTCGAGCACTAACCAGCACCCGTTTACTCAAGTGCTTCATCTCACTCCCTGCAGCCACCCTAACTGTCATCCTGAAGCGCATTGGACAAGATGGGGAAACGGCGCTTACACAGATCACGTAGCATAACGAGGTCTCATGGCCCAGAAGGGGAGCCTGGCCAGCCAGTTATGCGGAGACGGGCACCCAGGCTGTGTGACGCGGAGTCACTTGGCTATAACGTGGAGCTGTTCTGAAAACTCAACCAAAACCTGAGCGGCAAATGCAAGCAGCGAGTGGCACTTATTGTCACCATCAGCGCCACCAGCATCTCTGTAAGCGTTCAGTGCACTGTGTGGATTTAAAACCGGCTCTGCCTGGGCCCACATGCTCTGGTGGCTGGAGCGCTGTCCTGCACCCTGAGAGCCAGCGGGTTTGGTTCCTGGTCAGGGCACATGCCCAGGTTTCAGGTTCAATCTCCAGTCAGGGCAGCTGCGGGAGGAAACTGATATATGTTTTTCTCTCCCTCTTCACATCCTCTCTCTAAAAATCAATGACAAACAAACAAACCCCGAAATAAAACTGGCATTCAAGATGGATAGTGCATACAACATATTTTCTTTTAAAAAGAACTTTACATCAGCCATTCTTTTCTACTAAGAACTAGATGACAAAAAGAAAACCTTACTGCTTACCTTTTTTTTTTTAAATGTCAAGCTCTCTCCAATAGTTGCTCTCTCTGAGCAACATTTATATTTAAAACTCCATTTACAAAAAGAGATGAAAAGTATGACGCTATGAATTAATAAGCCGAACGCTGCGGTGTCACGCTGCCCACAAAGGTGGCAAAGGTGAAGCCTGCAAAGCAGCCGGAAGCTACCGCGGGCAGCGATGGGTCTGCCCTTTGCCTCGCAGCACTGGTTACTCGCACTTCGGAGTGCTCTGAAAGCCTCGAGTCCCTGGGCTGGTTACTTAATGGGCGTCTTTCCTCCTCTTTCTCGTTCAAAGCACAGCCAGCAGGGAGGTGGAAGAAACTGCTGGAGCTAAAGACATAGGGTCAGAAACACTTCTTAACTGTGGGCTCTGCAAGCCTGGCGTCCAGCCAGCAGTCAGCAACCTTTCCAAAGTTAAGTCTTTATTTATTTTTTTAATATATTTTATTGTTTTTTTGTGTTTTTTTTTGTGTTTTGTTTTGTTTTGTTTTGTTTTTTACAGAGAGGAAGAGAAAGGGATACAGGGTTAGAAACTTCAATGAGAGAGAATCATCCATCAGCTGCCTCCTGCACGCTCCCTACGGGGGATGTGCCCGCAAGCGAGGTACATGCCCTTGACAGGAATTGAACCCGGGACCTTTCAGTCCCCTGGCCGATGCCCTATCCACTGAGCCAAACTGGTTTTGGCCCAAAGTTAAGTCTTTAATTTATCCACTCTGAATTACGTTCTCCCGCCAGTGCCCTGTAGACTGGGGGCCTCCCAGGGTGAGCGGGGACCTGCAGAACCACGCACGGCGCGTGTGGAGGAGGACGAGGCAGCGGCCCGGGCCTGGGCGGCAGCTACGCCGGGGCCCCGGGAGCCGCCTGCAGGCCCGGCTGGCGCAGCGAGGCTGCGGCGTTCAGCACAGCCCCAGGCTCCCGAGGCAGAGTAACTGTCCCTTTTGCATGAGGTCCTTCTACTGCGGTGGGGTGGGCCCCAAATGGCACCCGTCTCTACCAATGTGACATGAACACGCACAAACACGGCTACACGCATGAGCAGAGAGACACCGTTCCTCCTGCCGCTTAGCTGTCCCGCTGCCCCTGTGTGGGTAACATTAGCAGGTGAGTGACCCTCACACTTTCCCGCTGGGTGCTGCCAGACCACGGTCCAGGCTGCTTCTTAGGACCCAGACGGAAGCCCGAGGTAATGAGCACAGAGGAGATGCAGCCACCTGGGTTACATCTCAGCTCCTCCAGTCATTAGCTGTGTGAGTTTGAACAAGTTACTGAACCTCTCAGTTGCCTCATCTTTAATTGGGGTTAGCAGTCAGCACTGCTCATGTGTGTAAAAAGCTCAGGGCAGAGCTTGCCACATGGAGGGTTCGTCTTGCCATTTGCTGGTCATGGTCCCAAGTGCGGCTTGCAGTGTTTAGAGTAAAGCTAATCAGCGCTAAATCCAGAGCAAGACTGAAAAAAAACCAAACAGGTTGGAGTATGGAACTAGTTGTGATATACTGAACCAGCTGCTTAATGTGCCTGAACCTCCGTTTCCTTATCTATATAATGGGAAGTTAATAATGCCTACCTAATAGGGCTAGCGTATGAACTAAATGAAAAGAAACATACAGTGTTTGACAATAAGAACTTGCTCTATATTAGTTTGTGTCTTAGTTACACATAAGCCATAACAATAGTGTGTTTCTTTCTAGTAAAGAATATAGACTTACCCTTTTTTGAACCTCCCTGCTTTTTTAAAGAAATAAGCTCTTTGAACTTGGGATACCAGTAACCTAGACCATATTTACCATTTCCTTTGTTTTCAGGTTTTATTGCTAGTCACAAATGTCTCAC